CGTCGGAAGCTCTGCTGGTAACTCAGCAGCTTGTGAAAGTTATCAGGCCTTTGGACAAACCTTACAGCTTTGATGCCAAGCCCTACGTGAAGGACCTTTTCTCTGCTACTCTGAAGCGGCTGAAGGCAGCTGACATCGACCAGGAGGTGAAGGAACGTGCCATCTCCTGCATGGGACAAATCATTTACAATTTGGGAGACCATTTAAGCACTGACCTCCAGCCAACCTTGAAGATATTTCTGGAGAGGCTCAAAAATGAAATCACCAGACTGACAGCAGTCAAAGCATTAACCTTAATTGCTAATTCTCCACTTCAGATAGATTTGAGACCCATCCTAGGGGAAGGTCTCCCCATTCTAGCTTCGTTCTTGAGAAAGAATCAACGTGCCTTGAAACTGAGCACCCTGAATGCTCTGGACATCCTGGTGAAGAACTACAGCGACAGTCTCAAGCCTGCCATGATTGAGGCTGTGCTGACAGAGCTCCCTGTCTTAATTACTGAGAATGACATGCATGTGTCCCAGGTGACCATCACGTTCCTCACGACTTTGGCCAAGATTTACCCATCCTGTGTCTCCAAGATCAGCGGCTCCGTCCTTGCTGAAATCTTTCAGCTTGTCCACTCACCTTTGCTTCAAGGAGGGGCCCTGAACGCCATCATCGACTTTTTCCAGGCCCTGGTCCTGACAAAGACAGCTGCCATGGGTTACCCAGAGCTGGTGAAGCAGCTGACAGCACCCATTTACTGCTCGGGTTCGGCCGGGGCCTCGCTGACCTTGCACAAGCAGGCGTACCACTCCGTCGCTAAGTGCGTGGCAGCCCTGTGCTCAGCCTGCCCGAAGGAAGCCCCTGCCACAGTGAACCAGTTTGTCCAGGATGTGAAAAGCGCCAAGGCCAGCCCTGCTGTCCAAGTGCTGGCTTTCCTGTTCCTGGCAGAGGTGGGCCGCAGCACGAACCTCAGTGCTCAGCGGGAGCTCAGGCCCGTGCTCCTGGAGGCGTTCTCCTCCCCCAGCGAGGAGGTGAAATCCGCCGCCTCCTACGCGCTGGGGAATGTCAGCGCTGGCAACCTGCAGGAGTACCTGCCCTTCCTGCTCAAGGAGATCAGCAGCCAGCCCAAGAGACAGTACCTGCTGCTGCACTCCCTGAAAGAAGTCATCAGCTCCTCCCCAGCTGACAGCCTCACGCCCTACGTGGAGGATATCTGGGCTCTGCTCTTCAAGCACTGTGAGTGCACAGAGGAGGGGACACGCAACGTGGTGGCAGAATGCCTGGGCAAGCTGACCTTGGTGAACCCTGCTGAGCTGCTGCCCCGGCTGAGGAAACAGCTGTCAGCAGGTAATGGCTAGGGCAATGGCCAGAGCAGGGAAATGCTGCCTTCTGATTGAAATTCCTTTTGTAAACTGCTTGTGGGTACAACGGGGAGCAAAGCCAGTTGAGAGGAGAGCAGGTGACAAGATGGATCTCTCTGCAAGGGGGATCACAGGAGCCCTGGTCTGCACAAGAGCAGGAGGGTGCTGGGAACAGGGACTACACAAGGAGATTGTACAGGAGCAGATTCAAACACAGAGTTGATAAGAAGAATCCTCTACTCCCTTTTGTAACACGTGTAACAGGACCAAGGGCAGAATATGTACTAGAGAGTTATAGCAGTGATTTTTCTCTCTTGATTTTTCACAGTTTATCTTCCCCTCTCTGTTGCAGGCTCCCCTCATGCCCGGAGCACCGTGGTTACTGCCATCAAGTTCACGATCACAGACCAGCCTCAGCCCATTGATGCTCTCCTGAAAGGCTGCATAGGTAGGCTGCTTTGGAAGGGGCATGAGCTGGGGACATGAGGGCTTGGGTGTTGCTAGCAGCTCAGGGATTTTCCACTCCTGTGTGAATCTCATCTAGTCCAGTTTTTAGCAGTGTTTCTCAGCTTTTGGGATTAAACAGCAACACTGTGTTGTGTTCCTAAATGCGCTGATGCCTCGCTCTTGGCATGTTTCATTGTTTTTTAAAGTGCTTAAGTTCTTTCCGCATTTAATCTTAGAATTCCAATACCCCACAAAAGGATCTTCAAAAGTATAATGTACATGAGTGTTTGAGTCCAGGGAGCCCACACATGGATCTGCTGTATAAAACTGGCCCTTCTGTTTCACAGAAGTTTCATCAGATGGGATCTAAACGAGAAAAATGCCCCACAACTTCCTTGAATAACAAAGCTTCTGATTTGACTTTAGGGTGAGGTAGCTGTTTGTTTTTATGCTGGAATGCAGGACAGTCATGTTTCTTTCCTGTACCAAATGGAGGGAGAGAAAGCATCTCAAATGGCTCTGACAGACTGTGCCACTAGTTATTTTACCATAAATGCTCTTATAACCAGCCTCCTTGAAATACACCCCAATAAACTTTCAAAATACTGCAAAAATACTACGGTCTGTTGGCTGCAGGACTGACCGATGTGTTCTTATCCCACAGGTGACTTCCTACAAACTCTGCAAGATCCAGACCTGAACGTTCGCCGTGTGGCTTTAGCCCTGTTTAATTCTGCTGCTCACAACAAGCCTTCTTTAATCCGGGATTTACTGACCTCAGTCCTCCCCAGCCTGTACAATGAAACCAAAGTGCGCAGGGAGCTCATCCGTGAGGTAACTGGGCTTGCCTGGTGCCACCGTGACCCACAGCAGCCTGTGGAGCCCAGGTGGAGCTGTTGCTCTCTCTGCTCTTTGGGGACAGCTGTGCTGTTTGTCTTGGTTCAGGTAGAGATGGGGCCATTCAAGCACACAGTGGACGATGGCCTTGATGTGAGGAAAGCAGCTTTTGAGTGCATGTACACCCTGCTGGAAAGCTGCCTGGACCGGCTGGACATCTATGACTACCTGAACCACGTGGAGGATGGGCTGAAAGATCACTATGATATTCGGGTAGGTGCTGTGCCCTGACTGATGTAATTTTCTCTGTGGGGCTTGGCCTGTAGTTGGGCTGTGTTTCCCCACAGCCCCAGGCCAGGGGGTGCAGTGCCCCCAGGGCTGCCAGCCCTTGGCAGACACCTGCAGCACTGTGCACACCTGGGCCACTGCAGCTCCAGCCCCCTGGCTGCCTGGGGAGCATTTCCAGCTCTTGGCAGAGCCCTTTGCACAAGTGCAGAGAGCTGAGCACGGTGCAGGTACAGCCCAGGCTGTGAGCAGAGCTGGTGGTGCAGAGAACCAAGAGCCGTTCCCTCCCCTCGTGGCAGATGCTGACGTTCATCGTGCTGGCGCGGCTCTCGGTGCTGTGCCCCGGCGCGGTGCTGCAGCGGCTCGAGCGCCTCATCGAGCCCCTCCGGGCCACCTGCTCCACCAAGGTAAGAGCAGCTCCTGCCCGGAGCCGCCTCTGCTCCTGGCCTTCTCCCTCAGTGCTGCTGAGCCAGCCACTTCCCTCACTTCCCCAGCTGGAAATCCTCTGCTGCTCTTTGCTGCTCTGTTGGTTCTGTGCCTGTACGGGCTGTTCTAAATGCCCACTGAAAACTTTGGATTTGCAGGTGAAAGCTGGTTCGGTGAAACAGGAGTTTGAGAAGCAGGATGAGCTGAAGCGCTCGGCCATGCGGGCAGTGGCTGCTCTCCTGACCATCCCCGAGGCAGAGAAAAGCCCAGCAATGGCTGAGTTTTCATCCCAGATCAGATCCAGTCCTGAAATGGCATCACTTTTTGAGAGCATTCAGAAAGATTCTGCCTCCCTCCCCACCTTGGAGTCAATGGACATGAGCTAAGATGTTTTTCCTCACCACCCTCCTGCCTTTGGGATGCCCCAGCCAGACACCAGCTGGGTGGGGAGGAACAAATACCATTGAACTGCTCTCCTGCCACAGCCAAACCCAAGTTCCTGGGCAGCCACAGGAGAAACTGGGGATGGTGTGTGAAATGTGACAGCTGGACAGGACTGGTTTGATTCAGCTGCACTTGTATCAGACACCTCAGTGATTTGGAATGAGACCTGAGATCAGGGGAATACAGCCTCATGTAGGGGAGGGGCTGGAAGATGAATATTCCCATTTTTAAGGAAGTTTTAAGGGGGTGCACAAAGCAATCACAGTTGTGGTTCCATGAACAATGGAAACGACTTCTTCAAATACTCCTTACTGCAGTACAAAGGTTTTTTAATCACTGCACATGCACTTTCTACCTAAAGTTGCCCAAGAATGTATTTATAGTGTTTTCACTAAAAAACATGGCTAAAAACTGGAAGCCATGTCTTTATGAATGGGTTCATCCCACAGGCCTTTGGGAAAGGAGGCTTGCACCTGCCAGGCTGCAGAGGCTGCACAGGGCAGGGGGGTTACCTGACACCCCCACCCTCCTCCTGGGGCTTCAGTCTGGCATTTGGGAAATACAAAGCTTTGTTGCTTAGCTTTCATATTTATGGTTTTGACTGCAAAATACCTCAACCGTCTTCCCCGAGGGATGATTATTGATTGTTTCAGTGACAAACCCTGCTTAAAGCTTTGCTTTGCACTAACATGGCTTCTCTTTCCCCTTGGAGCACCTCAGCGTTGGTGTCACCAGCCACAAGGGTCTACTGGTCCTGGTCACACAGCAGCAGCAGGCATCTGCAGGAGCACCAGTGGTCAGTGTCAGTCACAGGGGTCAGAGGTGGCAGGCAAGAGCCAGGGATGCAAGCACACAGCCCATAGTGGTTGCTGTGCTCAGATTCTGCTTTGTGCAAGAGAAAATGCCTTAAGAGACTAAGGTTCTAACAGCCAACTAGAGGATGATGCCATCATGACACTGCTCTAGCCATGAACTGCTCTGTGCTTTCTTTTCTATTTTGACAGAGTGGTTGATGTGAATAGTATTTATAGTGCTGTGTGAAAGGACAGCTGTTGTCTGGGTGATATAGAAAATAAAATACACTTGTGAAGCTGTGTGCCCTGAGTTCACTGACCATCGCCACGCCACTGCTCCTCGAGTGCCCCTGACAGCAGAGCCCTGGAGCCACACACAGGCTGCTGCCCCTCCTGTGCCCATGCAAAACAGGAGCCAAGTTGGACTGAGGCTTTATTAAATACACCCGTGCTGCAGAGCTGCTACTCGTTCTCCTCGCTGCGCAGTCTGGCGTTGGGGTTGGTGATCTTGATGGCGAGCTGGGCGGCTCTCTCCACGATCACCTTCCTGTTCTTCGAGGACACGTTGTGGGCAATCTCTGCACAGTACGACCTGGTGGGGAGACAGACAGCGTGGGGCTTGGCTCCAGCTGCCCCAGAGCCAAGGCAGAGCCCTCCAGAGCCATGGCACCATGGCAAAGTGTTGGAGCTGTCCTGGCAGCAGCACTCGGACACAGCTGAGCAGAGGGGCATCGCTGCAAGGGCACTGAGCCACGACTGCCACCCCTCAGCAAGCCTGACCCCTCTGGCCTGAAGCAGCAGCTCCCCTCCAGGACAGCTCAGCTTTTCCTGTGAATGACTCGGTCACAGGTAGTCGTTCATTATTGTTTTTAATACTTCATAGCAAAAACAAGCACTGGAGCAGACTTGTGCCCAGTTCTGACCGTGGTTTACTGCTGACATGGCACAGCCTCACTCGCCACCATTGTGTATTTTTGCCAAGGGGATGAGATTGCCAGCCCCAAGCCCACCCACCCACCCCCCGGTAGCACTGAGGGCATTGAGATGCCATCTGTGTTCTCAAAGGCAATGATTTCCCTTGTTCCACCCTGACCATACCACCCCTCCCAGGTGGGAGTACAGGCCCCCACACACTCACTTGTTGCTCATCATCAGCACTTCCAGCTCTTTCACATTGTGGACCAGGAACTTTCTGAAGCCCGTGGGCAGCATGTGTTTTGTCTTCTTGTTGCTGCCATAGCCGATGTTGGGCATCAAGATCTGCCCCTTGAAGCGCCGGCGCACTCTGTTGTCAATGCCTCTGGGTTTGCGCCAGTTGCGCTGCACAAATGCAGAGAACAGTCACAAAACGGGATCATCCTGAACACAGCTGGCCTGAAGGCTGCCTCCAGCGGCCTTCCCACTCTCCCTGCCCCGCTGCTGCAGCTTGCCACCATCCTACTGGGCTTTCCTTCTCCACTTACACCAAAGGCACCCAGAAGTTCCTGACCCTGGGAACCTGCAGCAACTGCTCACCTTGATCTTGACATAGCGGTCAGACTGGTGCCGGATGAACTTCTTGGTCCTCTTCTTGACGATCTTGGGCTTCACGAGAGGCCTGAGAGCAGGCATGGTGCCTGCAGGACAGAGCGGTGTGAGCGAGGGGCACGGCCGAGGTGCGCTGCAGCTCCCCGTGCCACGCGTGTCGCAGACTGCCTTCCCCCGCGGGCCACGGCAGGCCGGCGAGGGAATGGGTCTTCATCTGCTGGGGCTCTGCCTCCCGCCTCCGAAGCTGGCAGAGCACTGGCAGCTCTCCAGATGCGATCCTGGGAGGTGCCGCGGTGCCATCCCCGCGATGCTCCTGCCGGAGCCCGGCGCCGCACACCGTGATCAACAGCGACCGAGACCCCCGGTTCCGCCCGCCCCCGCTCCACAGGCCCCGGCCCGGCTCGTGACCGAGAGCTGTCCCGGGAGCGCGGCCCCGCCGCCCGGGAAGGGGCGCGGACGAGGCCCCAGCGCCGCCCATCCCGGGTCGCCCCGGCAGGCAGAGGAGCGGTCCCGGCCCGCGGGGGCCGCTTCCCGCGCCCCGGGGAAAAGACGCGGCGGAGGGAAAGGGAAAGGGAGGGAACCGGTCCGTGCCAGAAGCGCCGGGGGCCGGATGGCCCCGGATGGCGCCGGATGGCGCGGCCGGGACTCACCGGTGCCGATGGCGCGTCCACCGCGGGCCCGGCTGAGAGAGGGAGGCGCCCCGCGCGCAAGCGCTTATGGGACGCGCTTATGGGCGGTCCTGGCAGGGGCGTGTGGAGCTGCCGCCGCGCAGACAGGGCACCGGCCAGGCAGCCCGGAGGCCAGGCCCCCACCGCAGCGAGGTGGCACCGCCCAGGGACGTTCGGTCCGGCGGGGAAGCCCAGATCGGTGCTTCCCACCCACCTCCACGAGCAGCGCGCTTGCTACGAAGCTGACAGGACCTGTCGGGATCACAGCGCCAGGCTGTGCCCGCCGGCTGCTTCCGCCAGTTCGAGTGGGCGAGCAGGCGCCGCCTGGCGGCGTGGCGGACCCGATTGCGGCGGGTCCCGGCCCCGGCCCCGGCCAGGAGCGGCCCCAACTCCGGGGAGCCAAAACCCTCCTCGGCCCCTCTCCTGCCAGAGCGACACGGGGCCCATCCCTGGATGAGACTGGGAAGGCACCGGAACCTCCGGCGGCACCGGGGGAAATGCCAGGGCCGGGCAGCGGGCGCTGAACGGGGTCTGCTCTGTGCAGGTCTGCTCCTGGCACAGCGTGTCACCCTCAGCCCCTGCCCAGCAGCACGGGGAGCAGATCCCAGCTGCTCTGTCCCGGGGCAGGGAATAGTGGGCACCTGGATGATGGCTGTACCCAGCCAGCCCCAGGCAGCTGGGGGCACAGATCTGCACTTGAAGAAGAGACAGGCACTACAAAACAGAGATGTGTTTATTTAAAAAATAGCAATGACTCCCAGCCCTGACATCACACAAATATTTACACACAAAACTATGAGGTCACCCCCAGCTCAGTCGATGCTCAGCTTCTCCCGGTTCTCCCACAGCCACGTGTGGTACACGTTCAACTTGTGGTCCTGTGGCTGCACCTGAGACACAGGGAAAAGGTCAAGTATTTATTAAACCACCTAAAAATATCTCATTGCTCCAACAATGTGAGTGTTGGTTTCCCAGTGCCAGGGGGGCAGTGGGCACAAGTGGGATGCTGAAGGAGCCGAAGGGCACCACCCACCTCCTTCCACTCGTTCACACAGAAGATTCGGTAGGAGTCGTTGCCGTACTTGCCGATGCCGTGCAGCTCGATGGGGTAACGCCACGCCTTGCTCAGGTACTCACCTGTGGGGCCAGCACAGCACTCAGCACCCACACACACCCTGCCCTCACTGCTGCACACAAGGAGCAGCCTGTGCACTGTTACAGCTCCTCACTTGGGCACATTTCAAATGAAAACCACGAATTTTAGGAGTTTCCTGGTGAATGCAGGCCATGAATCCCCACGGGTTAATCTTCAACACCTTTTCAACAAAACACCATGGGAGTTTTAATCATAATCTCATCAGAACAAAAATTCTCTTCTGCGGGTTCTGAGTACAGAAAATATCAGAATCAGAAAAATCCCAACTGGAAGGGCCTTCTGCAGATCACCAGAGCAACCCTGAGCAGAGCCACTCTGTAACAGTGCTGCAAACACAGCAGCAGTGCTACAGGCACTTCAACAAGTTTCTGGTCTCCTGCAGAACATACTGTGGCTAGAATTTCTTTCCCAGTTCAGACTGGGATCAGCAGCTTTGCCTATGTGACACCAATGGATCCCAAATGCTGCATAAAATAACCCACCAACCCACCCAACAGAGGAGAATCCAGAGAGCAGCGTTTGGATCAAAGCTGTTTGTCTTTTGGCAGCATAACGAAGATTGCTCCAGATGTCAGGAAAACCCACCTGAGAATCTGATGATGGTTTTAGCTCTGAGTTCATAGAGGCCAAGAGGTTTGAGCAGCTCTGACATTTCTTTCCAGTCTGCAGCCCTGGCTACCTCAGGAGAAGGATACTTCTTCAGGAACTCCCAGAGCACTGGAATGGCCATTTTCCCTGGTGAAAGAATCCCGTGAGCAGGAGGCTGGGATGGAGTTCTCCTTCTGGACTATCCATATGCTTTCTCAAGTGAGCTTCTCCAAGGCAAGGTACCAACTAAGGATCGTTATTTCACAGTGACACAAGTTAAAATAGATTATTTTATTAATGCCATTTAAAACTGGCAGCTATTTCAGCCCTGTAACACCTCCCAACATTTACACACCTACTCCTGCTACTCTACTTACCTGAAGTTTTGTTGAGAAATATGGTGGCAATGAGAAGCTTCCATGGATCATGGAAGAGTGTTTCTTGGATAAGATTGAAAGGAGAACGTGGAGGAGTCCATTTTCTAAGGGCCTTCCTTCTGGGTGGGCTGAGGGCTGTACAGGGGCAACACAGGAACATTTATTAGTCAGGAAAGGATGGCTTTACCTATTTAAGGAAAAAAAAACAAACATTAAAATGATGACCTCTGAAGCATTTTTGTGGAGGCACTGTGCACAGACGGAGCCACGGCAGATCCCACACAGCCTTTACAGGGCTGCAGGGGAATGTGTCCCACTTGGCACAGCTGCAGCCAGTGTCAAGCTGAGAGGAATTTTCCACATCATCACCTGATGCTGAGCCATCTTATCCCTTCCCCATTAAAAAAAAAAAGTATTTCCCTAAGTACAATACCTTCTTTGCTGAATTTACTGGAAAAATACGGACTCGTTTTCCTTCTCTCCACTCGTGTTTGTGGGACAGACACTTCTGTAAAGAAATAAAACTTCAGCATTACGAAGGACTAAGTGTTTTGCTGTCATGTTTCACACACCATTTCTGCTTTATATTGTAATGGAAACAGAAGGAATTCTTCTCATGTACAGAACACAAAGGTACCTTAAATCTCCTCCAGATTATCGTCTGACACTGTACAGCTTAAGAGCTTGGTACAGTAAGTGTCAGTTTTGAGTAAGCCTGCAATAATTTAAATGCTGGATAAAAATGAGATTTGGATGTCAGAGGAGCTTGACCTGAAGTAGAACACGTGGTCTCAAGAGCCAAGAGAGGCCTGGGCAGAACATGAGGACTGGCATCACGTTCTGCTCTTGCACACACACACACACACACACACCTGGTGACGCTGTGACTGCTGGGAAGCCTGTCCTGTCCCAGGGCTCAGCATCCACCTCAGAGTCAGACTGAACATTCTGCTGACCCAGATCCCCCGGATCTGGAACCTTCCCTGTCTCCAGTCCATAGGATTTCACCTCAGGCCTCGCAGCAGGTGTGTCACTGGAGCATGGCCTCTCCTTTGGCAGGTGACCCAGCTCCCTCTGTGAGCCAGCCACTGACCTCAGCCGTGCCCTGGACATTCCTGACAGAGCTTTCCCTGCATCCACAGGATCAGCACCTGGATCACCCACACCCTGGATGTCAGCTCCACGTGTGTCTGTCTGTCTGTGGACTCTCTTGTTCTGAACACACTCGGTCTCCAGTGTGTTAGAGATTCTTCTCTGCCTCTTGTTCTTGGGGTCACCTTGGTTCCTCCTTTCTGAGCCCTTCCCACGTCTCCTAGTTTGGACACTTTTCCCATCTGCCCCCTTTCGTTTGGTTTTCAAACTCTCCTCTGGGTTTGTGCCTTCCACAGTAGATGTGACATCCTCCAGGTGTCCACTCCCAGCCTGGATGTTCTGAATTCCAACCTCAGCACCATTCTGTGCATGGAGATCCTGCACTTTGCTCTGACAATCCTCCTTTTCCAGGTCAGTCTTCACAGCTCCTGTGCCATATCCCCTCAACCCTGAGCGTGTGCTCCCTCGAGGAGCTGTGAAATCAAAATCTGCTGCTTTCAGTGTTGTCTCTCCAGTTTTCTGTAAATACTCCACAAGTGCTCGTTTTGACCTCAGCTTCTTCCCTTCAGGGCTGTGGTAGGAAACAAAAGTAAATTAGCAATGACTTTCTCATTCTCCTATTCTTCGCTTAAAAATCTTCAATAATACAAAAAACAACACCAAAACAAAGGGCAAAAACAGTTTTCAAGGCGACACATTTCTGTGGTCCTGCCAAGAAAGGGCACACAGAGCTCACTGATAGCCCAGCCTCACCTCACGAAGTACACGTCGATCCTCCCGGCCGTCCTGCCCGCCTGCCTGCGGCTGCTCACCCGCTGCCACCCGCGGGGGACGGCGCAGGGCGCCGCCGGGCCGGGGTCCCCACAGCCGGGGCTGGGGCTGGGGCTGGGGCTGGGGCCGGGCCATTCCTCCTCCGCTGTGTCTCGACTGCCGCCCGCGGGGCTGCAGGGGAAGAAGACGCCGGGTAAGGTCCAGGTACTGGAGGAGCGGACCTGGGCACGGACCCCCACACGACCCTGGGGAATGTGTCCCAGTTAGCACGGCCGCCGCTCCCGCCCGGGCACGCTCCCCCTCACCTGCCCGCCGCCATCCCCCGCGCGCCGCCCACGTGACGCTCACATGACGCTCAGGGCACCGCCTCCGCGCCCCGCCCCGCGCGAGCGTCCCCTGCCGGGCTGGTAGCCCCCTGGTGGGGCGGCGGACCCGCCGGCCCCGGGCCCGGGGCGTTGCCGTGGCAGCAGCGGGGCCGGGGAAGCGGCGCCCGGCGCGGAGCGGGCCCGGCCGTGAAGGGCGGCGCCGAGCCGTACCGAGCCATACCGAGCCGTGCCGGGCCGTGCGGGGCACGAGGGATGCGGGCCGCGCTCACCTGGCGAGACAGGGCCGAGCAGTGGTGAGCGGCCCCGGGCACAGCCGCTGTGCGGGCCCGGCCCGGTGTCCTGGTGTCCCGGTGTCCCGGGCCCATCCTGGTATCCCGGTGTCCCGGTGTCCCGGTGTCCCGGTGTCCCGGCCCGTTCTGCCCGGGCTGTGGGGGCGTTTCAGCGCGGGGTCGGTCGGTGCCGGCGGTCCGTCCTGCTCGGGGCTTTGCTGGCGATCACACCCAGCTCTCTGTGCCCGTACAGTGCTGGCCATGGGCACATCTCTGTAGTTTTGTATATTTCTGTATATTTCTGTATATTTCTGTATATTTCTGTGAATTTCTGTGAATTTCTGTGAATTTCTGTATATTTCTGACACGCGCTTCTTGCTTGTTTGTTTCCCTCAGTATTTACGACCTCGCGTTCAAGCCGGATGGGACCCAGCTGATAATTGCTGCTGGAAACAGGCTGCTGGTAGGAAAACCTTCCTGTCCTCTCTCCTTTACAGCTGTATGAGCATGATTTCTTTCACATTAACTTATGAATGTAACCTATCTGAAATCCCCTTATCTCTGTCAGTGCAGCCTCTCAGCATCATACATATTAATGCAGGCCAATTCTAAAGTGTTTTGAAGCTTTTAAATATTTCTTACCAAGTTTTAAGCTCTATTTCCAAAAGTAATGAGATTTATGTTATTAGTGTCATCTCGTCCTCTTTTGCCGTGCCCAGGG